CGGTAGTAAAGTTATAACTCCACTCACAACCAAAGTATGATGAGAAAAAAAGCCTTCCGACTGAAAACTGGCATGTTTATCCTCACAGCGCTATCGATGTGTCGATGGACTACATGCCAAAGGTCAGGATAAGCTCTACTAGGCACGCAAAGAATTCTGTGCGGCTTTAAAAATAATTTCTCCTTGAAGATGATTGGTTAATTATTTACGGTCAGATCACCTGGAAATGGCACGGTACCAGTGGAATTCTTGCCACCTGCCAAAGAGAAAGTATTGAATGGATGCATATTTGACGAAACTTCAAATTTTTCGATTAGTATGATGAATTCCATGAGCTGTTGTTTTGATGTTCTACAAAGTATTTACGATGTCCATCAAAACATAAATGAAACCAAACATGCATCAGCAGATCCTAATTTTGGGCTTCAGAAATAACTTGGTGAACAAATATAGCCGAAGAAGAAGCAGTTCATGTTTCCTCGATTCTCACCTGTGCAAATGCACAACAAATCATTGCATTACAACAAATACGGCTACAGTTGCACAACAAGTGTCGGGAAGTTTCTTGATGATGTGACTAAAATAAAAGCTCTAAAGTGTAAGCCATAAAACATCTAAGCTCTGTTGTAGTCATATTTTAGAGAGAGTTTTCATTCACAAAGAACTAATGACGATCATTTGGTAAATTTTACCACTGAAAGTAGGTAGGTTTTGGTCACATGCTAAGCGACAAGTTGAGAGTGTCTCAAATTTTATTTGTGAACAGAATATCTTTACAGATACAGATACTGATAAGGCCTTCAGCTTTTCTGCTGGTATAATTATTTTCGTCCGTTTTGTAACAGTAACTTTTATCGGTTGGTTCTAAATTAGATACTGGGTTCATGCTCAATGATATCAATGATATATTTACGGCCTGATGGAAACGAAGCTGACTGCAAAATGCCTGTTTTGATGTCCCGGAGTCCCATAGAGTCTAAGTTCTGTTTTGGCATCTTGTTCATTGATTTCTGTGCAATGAAAGTGAAAGCAATGACAAATATCTTATAATATACGCCAACAAAGAGAGGTGCTCTGTGACAAATCTAAAGTGTCATGAAAACTGAGCTGAATCTGATCAGATTCCCTTTGCCATACGGAAAACCTCCGTTGCTCGAAAGGCTGACTAGTTTTGAATTCTGAATTGAAAACCTCTGCCGTCCTAACAGATGAAAATTTTTTTTTGAATGGATAGCAGCAGTTGTTCAAACGGCTGAATATTTTTTCCTGAGCGGATAACCCCAGCAGTTCGAATGGCATTCCTATCGATCCTGAATGCATGACAAACAGCAAGAAAATGATTTTAGCCGTTCAAACAAATAACCGTATGTTTTCATGTGAGAGGTCATAATAAAAAAGAGACTAAAAACCTAAGATTTACAGTTGAGGATTTAATTGTTTATTCAAGAAATATTATGAACAACATGACTGTCTCAACATGACGTGACTGGTCAACATGACCAGTGAGTGAAGTTTTTGGGAGGTCAAGTCAACATTCTGGCCAGACATTGTCCATTGCCTGGCCATTATTTTGAGCCCTGTGTTTGAAACGAACTCTGAGTACTCTATCAAAAGAGAATGACTCAGAGAAAAAGTTTACATATAACACAGCAACAAGAAAAATAATTATACAAACATTTAACCTCCCTGCTTTGAGGGGAAAAAAATTAGTTAAAAAATCATATTATTTATATACAGTAAATACCTAGTTACATGCATATCTAGCTACAAACATGTATATGTAGTAAGTTGTGTTTCATCATTTTTTGGATAATGTGTAAGTTATTAATATTTGATCAACCCTTGATCAAGACTTGATCTACATCTCAGTCAACAGTTGGTCAAGAGTCTACTGATTTTTGATTGATACATATGAGTCTACCAACACTTGGCCGATTAGTGACCGACTGTTGATCAAGTGTCAATTGAGATGTTGATTGAGTGTTAATCAAGTGTTCATCGAGTGTCGACTGAATATCAATTGGGATGTCTACAGAGTGTCGATCAAGATTTCGATCAAGTGTCGATTACAGACCTTTGATTGAGGATTAATAATGTCTGGACAAAACCAAAAACCAATTTGAATTGTTGAACAATGCATTCAATATGTTTTGTTCTCGTTACTAATAGATATACAAAATAAGGATATAACAACTTCTTTAAAAAGATCTGACCAAGTTGTTCTGTAATTAAATTGCAGGGGCAGATCCAGGATTTTTCAAGGGAGTGTAACTGGCTACTTGGCTTTACTGAATCAATAATGCATGCCCCTGAAATGTTGCAATTTGACAATTGTTCACCGGTTTGTTTACTAGTTACTTTTCATACACCATACATCATACACTGTTGATAATTTTACAATTAATTTTGTTAATTTTTTTACACTGGTAACGTTCAGGTCTTCGTTAGTTTTTTTACTTTTCAGCCTCATAAATGAAAACACTAGTTTAACTTCCTTCTTTAGGCATTAGTAAAGAGTGTCTACTTTTCCGTCTGACCAACCACAGACTCAAGAACACTTGCCATCAGTGAAACCACTTATCAGGGACATAGCTAGTAACAGGAGAACCAAGGCACTTGCTGCAGTAAAATTTTTGAATACACCGAATGGAAATATGGCAGACCACTCGGTCGGCGCCTGAGATGAGCTGCATGAAAACAAGGCTAGTCATGCTTTGATGTTTTGTTTTGACAATGCTTCCCCAGAAAACTGTTGGTTTGTCGCAGATCTGGTGTGTTTTATTTTGCTGTGCCTACGAGTTGCTGTGTTGCTGAATGCCACGAGAAGGGATAGAAAATTAATCTTCCACCGTTTGCCTCAAGGGAAAATAGTAGATCAATATAATTCGTTGAGATGGAGGAAGGGAGTTCACAATCACCGCGAGAACCAAAGTTTGTTCAATAAAATTCAGGAAAGAAGATCTAAGAAAAATTGATTAAATGACAAGCTTATGTGTTGTTTGGTGGTGTTCCAACAGGATTTGCATGGCCAGTACCTTCCCCAAGTTAAAGAAAAGCTCCTCTTGAAAGACATCCTCTGTCTCAAAAGAAGTTGTAAGGTGTACTAGCCAAGCGAATTAACTTCAACTGCTCCGTCATTAAAACCAGTTAAAGCATTGAGCCAAATGACGACGACTTGGAGCTAAATGCGATCACTTTCATGTGACTTGTTCCAGGCACCAACCGAGTGGTCCGAGCAACTGGAGAAAACCCTCCCACTGTTGTTCTCAATTTTACTTGTGCACAATATATTTTTAAAGAATGAGCAATGTGCACAAATGAATTAACTCAAGCGGCAGGGTATTCTGCAGTTAAGCCAAAAAATATACCAATAAGATGGGGCATTTTTCTCGATATTAGGTAGACAAGCATTTCAGTCTGGCTACAGCCATGCTCATGCATGTAAGTCTTAATTCATGAATCTAGTCGTTAAGCCCCCAAGTCGATTGGCCCTCAGTTGAGTCAATTAACCCCCAAATAAAAGTTGTTTTTATCTCAGTAAACCATGATTTCTTCTCTCACTTGTGACTGAAAAATTTTAATTGCTTCGACTGAGTGCAAAGAGAAGTTCTATTTGGTGGCTAAAATGACTTAAGGTTGGAGGATATTTCCGTAATTAGGGACTTAACCACTAAATCCTGCATTCTAAGAAACCTAGTAAGGCTTAAGCTTACTATTATATGGTATCAGTATACTTCAAAAGCGACCATTTTTCAAAAAAAATGTCTTTTGCTTTTTCAGATCTATAGATCTTATTGCGATCTTTCATTTAAAAAAAATTCTATGAAAAAAAGATTGATTGTAAGCAAAGTTATAAACGAAAAATGTTTCTCTGCATTAATTACCTCTAACTTATAGAGGTAATTAAGCTTTCAGAAAATATAAACTTTACTGGGGTTTGCGTCAAATGTCCGACCACAAAGTGGCACCAACGAATGACACTGGAAGAACACGAGAAGAATTTGTAAATCACTCGCCTGCGGCTCGAGATTTACAAATTCTTCTCGTGTTCTTTCAACATCCCGCGTGGTTTATCAGACTTTATATAATAATCAAATGAAAGCGTGCGCTCTGATTGGTCAATCAGCTATGGTTTATTGTGCCAGTAAACTCATGGAAATTTCGCATGTCTTCTGAATTATTTTATAAAAGCAATCGACCACAAGTTTCTATGGTTTAGTGGCATGATAAACCACTTGGGATGTTGGAAGAACACTCGAAGAATTCCTAAATCACGAGCCTGCGGCTCGTGATTTACGGATTCTTCGAGTGTTCTTCCAACATCCCGCGTGGTTTATCAACCTATAAACCATAAAAACTTGTGGTCTATTGCTTAAATAAACCATAAAAACTTGAGGTCTGTTGCTTAATTAACTGTGCACGTGTACAATAAGCCTTATAACTTCAATTGGAAATGTTCTCCTTTGCTAATAAAACATACCTCTAATTGTTACATCTTGCTTGTTGTCATGTTCAAGCGTTATCGGTACCTTCAAAAACTGTCCTTTGGCTCGAATATGGACAAATTCGTCTCCTATCTCTCTTTTTCTCTTCCCTCCTTTAGGATCTGCCATTTTGCTTCTCCGGTTCCGCTGACGTGAACTGTCAGCGGTTGTTACGACAGCCCCATGTCAGTAGGTACGTGATGTATGGGGACATATTGTACCGCCATCTTTAGGTTCCTTCCTTCCATGAGGTGCTTCCTAAAGGTAGGATGGGGACTTGGGGACTGGGACGTGGGACTTGGGACTTGGGACGCAGGGGACGTGGGGACGCAGGGGACGTGAGGACTCGGGGACTTGGGGACTCGGGAACGTGGGGACGCGGGGAGGCTGGGACGTGGGGACGTGGCACGCGAGGACGTCTTTTGCCCGCGAAGCCGCTAATCATGAGAAATACCGCCTGCCAGAGAACTTGGGTTTTTTGAATGCCGCCCGCCTTCACGCCTATATTTCGCGCTAAAATAGTCGGTTCTAATTGGTTGGTTTAATTGGGGTCAGTTGAGGTCAATGAGGTGATACAAGAATGCTACTGTGACTGCGTGTCTTTTGGAATTACGCCTACCTTGGTTCAAGAAATATCATGCGATGTTTCCAAACTACACTAGTGCGTTTATTTTATCCTTTGTCTCTATCAAACAGACCAAAATGTTCATACCCGCAACCGAAACTTTCCCAAGTAAGTGGCATTAAAACTTGTCAAATTGTACAAAGAAACCCAGGAAACTGCTCAAATATTGCTGCAGACTCCGTGGCACCTACTGAAAGCATAAATTTTATCAGTCTCTGAGGGGACTCGTTCACTGATGTCGGTCAAGTAGCGCTGTTTACTTTCATTGCCTCTCGTTGAAACACTTCTCAGTTGTATTAATCGATATCAGTGTTTATTTTAAATTTATGTGGTTTTATTGTTAACGCCAAAGGTGGCAACAGAACGTGTTGTTCCGTGACAATTTGATAATTAGATTAGTTCTTGTTTATTGGTCAAAAGAAAATTTGCCTGTTAAATAAAGCAAATCGTTTCTCTTCCATTTCTTCGTCCGACATTCAACTTTCCATTTATCTGCAGCTGTGAAATGAATACAAGCACATCTTCCGTGTGTTTTCGAGAAAACAAGAGTATCAGGTTACATAACTTTGCGAGGAAAACAAAAGTATCAAGTTACAAAAGTTTGCGTGAAGAATAAAATTGTCACGTTCGCTACTTAAATCTATTATTTAATTTGAAATGAGCAAAAATCAACGTAAAACACCACAGTAAAATTCAAGAACTGTCTTGTCAAACGGTAATTAACTGTAACTATTTTTGGACTGTGAATGAAATACACACGCCAAACCTACACACTGCTAAGATGTCTCATCAAAATCCCTAGCTGACTAGCAAGGCCAATACAAACCAGAAGTGAATGGTAGGGGTTATATAGGAACTGTGTTATGAGTACTCCGTCGGAGCTTTTCATTACACTCTGCACTATCTGAGATTGTCTCACTAGTTCCTTTTCGGTTACATATTAATGACAAACGGAGAAACGTGATTTGCTCGTAATACCTTGGACATCAAAACACCAATGCAACTTACTAAATTAAATGTCAAGGGCGCTGCATGTGATCTTTCTGATGTATCCATGGGTATTAACCACGGGAAATTTACCTCCGGAAATATTGGTGATACTCACTAAATGCAATTTCCCGTGGTAAAAGGTCATTTACTACGGTAAAGAGTTCCGTTTAACCGAACCCTAAGGGAGCGAATTTCCTGGAAACTAAAGTCCAAACATATTTCTCATGTAACCGTTCTTTTTCTGCAGCTTGGGATCTTATAACCACCACTCTACGTTATCTTTATTCGACGTTCATCACTACAAAACGACAAAATGTATAAATATGTACCGTAAAGCTACAATTTCTCTGATTTATCCATAGCGCATCAACTCTTATTTGACTGAAATTTACACAAGTTCGCATTGCGGACCTATTTTTTAAATTGCGCGAATTTACGTCTTGTTTTCACAATTGAAGAATGTTGACCGTGGAACGAATTAACGATCTTTTGGTAAGCTACGCAATTCGCGGGTAAGTTAGTTTTCTGACAACAAATCATGGCCATTTGCCTAGCTAAAACCCGCAAAATGTATTTTTCAACTTGTTTTCAATTTATTTTCATATTTTGGGTTTCCCTTTCATTCTATGACATGCAATCTAACATCTACAGTCTACATACCACGATTTTAAAAATCTCCGGGGGCAAGGACATAGAGGAGGACATAAAGGAAACATAGGGCAGACATAGAGGAGACACACCTCCTTTATACTGAGTCCTGGCTAAAAATTAAGAAGTATGATGTGTTCTAATTACACTAGTTGCGTTCAACGTGGTGTAACGCAATCCTAGTCCAGCCTGTACGAGATTTTCCACCTGCTTTTGTTGGTTTCCAAAAGGCCGTATTTTCTGGCCAGAATGGTTTTTCTGTTATAGTCGATAAAAGTGCCGTTTTTTGGTTTATCTGTTATTCGATCAAACAAAGCATGCAAACTGTCCGCGCGCAGTTTTGAGCGTCACTTGGTTTAGTAAAATCGGGCGAATTTTTCTTCACTTTCACAAATAAAAAAGCAGCCAATATATTTGAAAACGAAAAAATCGAATTGTGAAGCACGGCCACTACTCTAATCTTTGATTACTACACCAGTAAATAGCCTCAGTGTGGTGGTAAGGTCATTATTTAATGTTATTANCCACGGGAAATTTACCTCCGGAAATATTGGTCATACTCACTAAATGCAGTTTCCCGTGGTAAAAGGGTCATTTACAACGGTAAAGAGTTCCATGTAACCGAACCCTAAGGGAGCGAAGTCCAAACATGTTTCTCCTGTAACCGCTTTTTCGTCTGCAGCTTGGGATCTTATAGCCAGGACTCTACGGCATCTTTACTTGACGTTCATCACTACAACACGACAAAATGTATAAATATTTACTGTAAAGCTTCAATTTCTCTGATTTATCCATAGCGCATCAACTTTTATTTGACAGAAATCCCACACAAGTTCGCATTGCGGACCTATTTTCTTTTAAAACTCGATCGAAAAGGAAATTTTTCAACAGAGAATACGCTGATAATTTAATTATGGTTGCGCCATGAAAAGAATAGCCGCGTACGTGGGACAATTATCGTAAATATATTAACAAAAACTAATTTTACGTTTATTGTATTAACATGGTCAGGAAAAGTTCTGTTTTTCACAACAGATTTGAGATAAATTTCTTCCGTGTGATGGAAAAAAATATGGGAAGAACGCAAACAGAAGAACGCGGAAGTAAATTAACCAGGCATAAAGTGAACTTTATTTTCTTTTGATTAACCAAAAGTGGTCCAAATTTGAAATAGTGAGACAAACATGGCCTCCATTACATAAAGAAAAAGCCTAAATTTCCATGTTTTTGAGCAACCAATGCATCTATTAAGGGATGAAATCAGGGAGGTAAATTGACCAGAAATGGCCTAAAATGCACCCATTGGGCCTTACAAATTCAAAACTTTTCTGGGGGAGACCCACCAGACCTCCCCAGTGGGGCGACCCCCTCCCACACCTACCCCGACTTGGCACGGCGTGCCAAGATGGCGGCAGAGCCGCCATAATGGTCCCTGTTATTTGCTCAATTGTCCCTGTTAGAGCGGTTTTCATTTGAGTGTCGAAAGTAATTAGGCAATTACTTTGGTTTGGTTTTGGTTTTACCACGGTTTGAGATTGGCTAAGTAGTCTAATTGGTGTGTAATTGGTTTGGTTTTGGTTTTATGACACTCAGTTGAAAACCGCTCTATTAAAAATCATAACAAAAACCCTGGTTAACCGGCTTCGGAACAATCCTGCCATGTTTTCAACAAGTTAACCTGACAAGAGCCTGCGGTCCAACCGAAAACCAACACTTGGTCAGCGGTCAACTTAAAAAAAAGCACATGACCTCAATGAGCTGTAAACTTGAGTCCGCGATATGGCCACGCTATACTGGTCAGCGGATACGTTGTTTTGACAGGTGTCAATTGATCATAACATGGTTGTCCAATATCAAAGAAGTACACGGTAAACCAAGGCTGCGTGTCTCTGTCAACCTGTTAGTTGAAAGTTTAAAACCCGGTTAGTAAGAGGTATATCGTGGTCTTAAAATCGTTGTGGAAATGTCAACATGTCAAATTCAACATTGGATTAAAACCCTAACATGTTAACATGTCAAATTTAATTGAATAACATACACCGTTTATCATTAAAATTCCTGAAAAAAATTAACTTTCAGGCAATGTCAGTTTTTAGGGGTTCTTGATACGTTTTAAAAGTTCATTCACAGTATTCAAAATAGCCATATTCAAGGCTTCTTGCTGTTGTTGATATTGCTGTTGCTGATGAAGCAGCATTGTCTGGAATTGCTGCTGTTGCTGTATTACAGCAGCTCTCAGCTCCAACTCTCTGTTGTGAAACTGCCGATGTTCTTCTTGCTCATTTTTTTTCATTGCAATGGAGGCTTGCAGCATTGAAACCAAATTGGTGTGACTTGATTTCTTCTTAATTGGCGATGCCCCATCATCAGAATTATTGTCACCTTCACCTGCAACACCATCTCTCTTTCTTTTCTTTGTACTGCTCAACCTTTCCACAGCCTTCCTCCTCATATCCTCAGCAGTCTCTTTTTCTGTTGTTTCTTTTTCCTGTGATTTTTCCTCCCACTCTGACATTCACTCATCTATCCCTGTTAGAGCTTGATATGATTCATCAAACTTTACCTGAACCCCACTTGCCGTCTTTTCTTCTTTCTCTAGCATGGTACTCCTCCATCAAAGAATTAAACAGATTGCGAACAGATCTTTGAGTAGCTTTCACAAGACCACGTTGAACCAGGTTATCAGCAATCCTGGTCCATGCTGCCCCCCTCTTAGTTGACCCAACAGGAAATTTGTATGGCTCCACGTGGATGACTTCTCTAAGTAATTTCAAGTCATCATCTTTTTTCCAGATGAAAATTTCTCGCTTAGTAGACATATCTGGACAAACAAAGAAAACTTGTAAAACTTTATTCACATTTATTACAGGTCAACAATTTATCGTAAGAAATGTATTTACGGATTAAATTCTGATTGGCTGTATAGGCTTTTTTCACAATGAAAATAAAGCGTATAGATTTCTACAAATCAGCTTTATGGAATAAAATTCTCGTGTTATGTGTAATAAATAATTCAACTGATGTTTTTTTACATGGCATAGCCAATTACAGAAAACAGCCTTTAACAGAGAGCTCAGTCCGTTATCCGGTCGAAATTTTATTGTTTGGAATCGGTGGGAAAGTACTCTGAAGGCAAGATCCAAAAGTTTACTTTATTCATCTGGGGAAATACTCGAATTAGTCGCACGGAGTTTGTTTACGATAAACGAGCACGCGATTGCAAATGCTAGCTTAAATTTGTGCTTCCAGCTTAGAATAATG